TGCCTAAGCTGCTTTCCCTTGGGCAGGTGGCTCCCTCCAGCCAGGCTGGCACAGCTTGGCAATGTCTCCCTGGAATCCTCCCCTGCACCCACCCCTGCCAAAGCGAAGCAGGTTCCAGCATGGAGCCAGGGCAGGTGGGGGCCACTGCTGGAAAAGGACTGAGGGTGGACCATGCGCTGGCGGGGGGTGGGGGCAGGGTGCAGGGAGCTGCTGGATCTGTGCCACAAGGGCTTAACGTCTAATAGGGAGTAAACCAGACTGTGTACGTGTCGTGTGTGTGTGTGTGTGTGTGCGCGCGCGCGTGCGTGGTGCATCCCACAGTGCTCTGCAGCAGAGAGGCTTCCCCAACCAGAGCGTAGGAGTTGGGGGAGTGGGGAGGCTGTTTCCCTGCTGCCCGGCGTTGGGGGAGCCTGGGCGACATTGTTTGGGAAGATGGGGGGCACTGCAGGCACTGTCTCTCCATAAGAAGGCCACCAGGAACAAGTGGAGTGGGGCAGGTGGGGAGCTGTTGCTAGGGGTGACATGTCACGGAAAGAGGAGTGGGGTTCCTAAAAGAATAATCCACGTACCCATGGCTTTGACCTTTAACTTTAGTGTCTTTCTGCCCTAAGTAGGCTGCCCCAGGGGCCTCTTCCAGCCCTCATGACTCTTTGCCCCTGCTAGCAGCATGGTAGAGCCTGATCAGCACCCACACCTCCTCTGTGCCTGCTCAAGCAGTGGGCACCGAGGGAGGCCCATGTGCTGGTCCTTCAGTGGTGGAGGAAAGGCAGGCAGCTGAACACCCTCCATGTGAAACATTGAGGACCAGGGCCTCTTCCTGCATTGGGAAGATCTTGCCTTAAATGCTGTATGGACCAGGGTGAGCGGCACCTCTGCTTTGCCCGAGGTGGGGGTGGGGGGCACTGGGTATGTCAAGGGGGCCATTCCCCTGCAGGGCTAGGCCAAACCAGGAGAGGCTCTGCTCTGGGAATAGTCCTAGAGCACCCCAGTGAGGGACCCATGTGTCAGTCTGGGAGGGAGGAGTGCCCTGCAGTTCCCACTGGAGCTGCTCCAGGCCAGGTATGCTCAGGCTTTGCTGGGCCCCCTCCTTTTTCCAAGAGCACACGCCCGTGTAACCACACGTGAAAATACACCCTATGCAGCATGAGGCCCCTGCCACATGCCAGGCTTGTAGGGCTACATCTCCCCCACCACTGGGCCAGATGCTCCCCCCCTCCCCCAGCCTTCGTCTTAGAAACAGCAGCAGCCAGCAGGACTAGTGGGGTTGGGGATGCTGAAGCTTCTTTGGTGCTATTTGGTTCCAGCACCATGGGGCTCTTGCCAGCACCAAGGCCCCTCTCCAGC